ACAACATTTAATTTTTGTTAACTTGATGAATAATTCATTTTAAGTAATAGGTTAGTGTCCCAAAAATATTTACAAACTAGACAGATGTACTTGAGACATTTTTGCTTTTTTCTTAATTTTGAAATGGAAGCATATTTACCACCCACATATTTATGAGGTACACTACAATAATATGTGCATAGAATGTGAAATGCTAATCAGTGCAATTAGCATTTGCATCTCCTCACTTATCTGTTCCATGTGTTGTGAACCTTAGAACTATCAGAAATTTGTGTTAGACTTTAGTTACTGAAATAATTATATGAAGTAGACACTTATACTTTCAGGTTTCTTGCCCCACTGTTCACAGTAGCTAAGATATGAAATCAACCAAGATCATCAACAGGTAACTGATTAAGGAGCCAGAATTTTTATTGAATTGCTTTACTATTCAAAGGTGCTTCAGAATCCTTTAAGAAGAATATTTGCTGGGTACTTCATATTTTTACCTTGGCAGGATTCCAACTATTGTCTCCCCATAGTTAATCACTGAGTAGCATGTAGAAACATTTATATGTAAATATAAATATATGTGTGTGTGGTGTGTGTGTAAGAATTTTTGTGTTTGAGATGAATTAAATGTCCATAAATTTTTTGCAGGTCTACAAAGCAGCACAGTGAGATCAGTGAATAGACATTAAAATAAAAATATAGTAATTTCCCTGTCACTAAATATTATTCTGTTAATATTTTTAAACATTAAAAATATAAGAAGCAGGTTCCTGTTCATACAAAAATAGGGACAGGTCAGATTTGCCTGAGGAATCTTGATTTGTGGATCCTTATTCACCTGGGCTTTTCTAACCTTTTGCCATTGTGACAAGACATTGTCACTCACAAAGCTCATGTTTGAGAACTGTGCAATCCAATCAATAATCACAAAACAATCTTATAATGTCTAACATAACTTTTTGATTTTGTGTTGGGGCTCTCTCCAGCTTCATGTGGTCTGTGGACCATGAGTTGGGCAAGCCTTTGAGGAGCCAGAAATCTGCGCCGGGGATGGATATCCCTGGGCCCTTGAACTTCCTACGGTCCGAGGCAGCATTGTGTGTGTGTGTGTGTATGAGGTTTTTCTGTATACAGTTCCTGTATACAGTCAGCTTTTAGCTGACTCTTAGAAAGTCCCAGATGAAAAAGGTTAGGAGCCATTTTTTTCTGAAGACTTTTCCCTGTTAAGATGCATTTCTTGAGCACATGGTAGTTTCTAGGCTCTGTGCAAGTGCCCCAGAAGTCTTAGAAAACTGTATGATAGGAGAAAACACTGCTAGACACTGAGATCAATAATTGTCCAGTGATCTTGTTTCTTAAAGTCTGCTACCTGCACAATTCTTTATGCTTTGTCTTATTCAGAAGCATGAAAATCTACATCTGGTTGTGAGAGAAAAGTTCTTTTCATATTTTCAAATATTTAGTAAATGATTTTAGTCAGGCTTTAAGTATCAGAAGCAATTGAAATGTCTAGACTACTACAGGCTATACAGAGAAATCAGATTCTATATAATAAGAACCTTTTCCTTAGTGCTGGGGGATGTGGTAAAGTGTGCTTAGCATGTATAAGGCCATGGGTTCTAGCCCCAGCATACATACACACAAACCCCTATCCTTTTTCTTTGAAATAAGTAATAACTCACAGATGGGTTCATGTTAGTTTAATTGACATGAAGTGCTATGATATACATAGAAGCAGGATTAAGTTGCTTAGCTTATTGCAACTGAATGCACAAGGTTATAGGCCGCTTGACTTAACCTGTGGCTGTTATTCAAAGCTAAGCTATTGAATGTTCAGATTCATAAAATGGAGTAGTTAGCCTGGGGCAGAGGTGGTAGTGAGAAAATAGAAATGCTTATTTGAAAAGAAATAAGCAGCTCAGGAGTTCCTGCCTCTGCTCCAGGGCTGCAATCGGAAGAACTTGTTCTCAATAAAGTATTATAGAATGAAATTTGTTCTCAAAGAGGAAATGGTCATAAAAGCTACAACACTAATTTTAAAATCTAATGACAACTTGGGATAGTTTGTGGTTAAACCTTTAAAAAGGACTAAACATCTCCAGGAATTGTTTTACCTTTATATATAGGCTGATTATTTACAGATTTTTTTCATACTGTTAGAAGAAATAACAGACCCTAAGTAAATTAAAATGATTTTAAAAAGAAAGAAGTTAAGCAGAAATTTTTCCCTGGCGTAAAAAAAAAATTAGAAATTTAGAGCTATAAAAAGAAAGCCTTGCTTAGGTAAACATTAGGCTTGGCTTTTAATTGAACATTAATTAAATATGTTATTACTAATTTGTTAGTTTCCTTATTGTTTTTAGTCTGGCAGTTCACCCACCCCTTAGCCTTTGTTTCTGTTCAATATATCATAGTTGTATTTCTTTTCAGTTTTAAAAAAACCAAAACTAAAAACAATCTAGAATTGGAAGAGTAACTTCAATGAGAAAGTTCTATTAAAGTCTGAGAGAAGCCAGGTGGTGGTGGCACATGCCTTTAATCCCAGCACTCGGGAGGTAGAGGCAGGTGGATCTCTGTGAGTTCGAGGCCAGCCTGGTCTACAGAGCGAGATCCAGGACAGGCTCCAAAGCTACACAGAGAAACCCTGTCTTAAAAACAAAACAAAAAGTCTGAGAGAAAACAAACAGAAAACAAACAAGACTGTTGTGTGGTTCATATGTGGGGTTTTGACTTTCAAAGATTCTTGCTGAATTTGACAAGAGTATAAATCATTGAATTAGTAAGATCTGACTTGTCAGGTCTAATTCCCAAAGATGGTGAGAACTTTGACAGGTTCCTGAGAACTGTTTCATCTCAAGACTTAGCCTGATTTGGTCAGCCTAAGGCTATCTTTTCAAACCTGAGAGTCCCTCTGCAAACTACCCCATCATCTTTCTTGGCTTCGAGTGTGGTCCTTTCCTCTTAAAGTGCTTCCTCCCTTGCCCTAATGAGTCCAGTTCCTTTAAGCTGGATTCTTTCTGTTCTTCCTAACAGAGCAGTCAGGTTATTTGATACATTTACATAAGGTGGGATGCTAAAGTGGGAGCACTTCCATTTCAGCCAACTTGGCCTTTGGGGTTTCTTCAGGCAGCTGTGCTAGTGAAATTTTGAAGTAAGCATGGAGGGTGAGGTAGAGATTATATATATGGCCCCACCAGATTCCACAGATTCCTATTGTCCCTGTGTTTAGAGGAAGCCCTTTGACTGTAATTTAGCAGGCATGGGTGTAGCTTGATTTCTCCGGTGAAAGAGAGAAAATGAATGCAAGAAAGAACACATGCACTTAGTATAAAATACAGTGAAATACCACCAGTTATTACCTTATTAAATTGCTATTAGAAATATATAAGTAATATATATTATCATTCATAATATTTAAATTTTATTTTTAAAATGTACCTTCAAGGGTATCTACAAGTCATTGAGTAAGTATTCAGTACTTTAGGGAGGACAAGAGAACTATCAATGAAACAATATCCACATTGAAAAAAGATGCACACATGTGGCACGAACTGGAAAAGAGCACAGTAAAATGATAAAATGTGCCATTCCTGATACTAAAGGCAATACACATACTAATCTCTTTGAATCCAGGAACTGTAAAGAGAGACAAACCGGTAACAACCTTTGCATTTATAAAGCTTTTCTTTACTAGTTATACTCTGAATCATGACCATATAATCCTGTTATCTCTTCTTCCCTAATAGGGATCCTTGTAGCATTTCTAGAGCCTCCTTTTGAACTATGAGTATCATTTGGCCCCTAGATAAAGACAAGGCTGGGCAAGTTGTGGGAGACCAGCTCCCACTTTTTCCCCAGGGTACTCTTGAGGAGAAAGTGTTAAGAGATTTAGATAGAAACATAGAGGGGAGAGAGACAGACCATAGGATAGCCTCGGGAAGGGCCTAGATCCTTATCCACCAGCCCCTTCTGTCTCTTCTAAAGGGCTTTTTATAGGAATGCCAACAGGTGGAGCAGACCTCCCCATAGCACAGTCACGTGCAAACCCTTCCAATTACCTAGTAACCACGCATGTGGTCAAGCAATCCTCTAATGCAGCCCTGCTGGGTAAAGCAAGCTCAGATTTCACTAGGAAACCTTTGTGAGCCTCCACAGCAAGTCAGATTCTTTGTGAAATAGGACCAGTAGTAAAATAGTAAAATAAAATGACAATGCTATCCTCATTTTAGGTGGATGGTAAATTGTTAAAGCATTCACTTTTTCTAAATTACCCTTTTCTTTTTCAAGTCTTCTATAAATATCAGTGGGCCAAGAAAACAAAGAAGGATACTATTGGGTGATTGGACATGTGGCAGGACAGGCAGCGTTACATCTGGGAAGAGGAAGGAGAAAGTGGAAGGAAATGGGCTTTCAGGAGATCACAAAGTCTACATTTAAAGGCCTGGCTATGTGAGGAACCAAGAGAAATCTTGTGTGTGTATATGTGCTGTCATTCATTGGTGAAATTATGGCTTTTTCAGAAATCAGCTTACCAGTAAAGTCCATGCCTATAGATAGTTGTCATTTTAAAAGCAATTCCTATATGGGAATTAGTTAAAGACAAAAAAATCAAGAAACAGTGGTGATTATATTTAGCATATATACATATTATATATTTATTTCATTTAACAACACTTAATGAAAAAAGGCCATAAATTTTAAAGAGAGTAAGGAAAGGGTATATGGGAGGATTTAGAAGGAAGAAAGGGAAGGAAGAAGTGATATAATGATATAATATGAATATATAAAGATTAATATATATAATTTATAATTATTTAAAATATAAAATAAAATACATAATTATATAATAAATATAATAAAATGATATGATTATATAATCTCAAAAATAAAAGAAAAACAGAAATAGTGGCTTAGGAAATGCTGTAATTCCTTTGAGAATGCCTGGTGTAATAAATAGTAAGAAGGATATGTTTAGCTCTAATACCTCTTTTTTTCTCTTTTGAACACAGGCATCTCTTCCTATGAATCCATCACTTGCAGCTAATCCTACTATGGCTTTCAATCCTTACATGCCTCATCCTGGGATGGGCCTGGTTCCTGCTGAACTTTTTCCGAATACTCCAGTTCTGATTTCTGGAAACCCGCATCTTGCATTGCCAGGAGTTCCTGCCCCAAAACCAATTCGTACAGATAGACTGGAGGTATTTGTGACTACATATAGAAATGCTTATAGAATGGATAGTAACTTTATGCATAATGTACCTTTTCAGAGCCTAATTTATTGAATGTTTAAAATTAGAATATCCTAGTACCTTTTAGCATAAGGAGCCTGAGAAAGAATGTTAAGCCAGGCGGTGGTGGCGCACGCCTTTAATCCCAGCACTCGGGAGGCAGAGCCAGGCAGATCTCTGTGAGTTCGAGGCCAGCCTGGTCTACAGAGTGAGATCCAGGACAGGCACTAAAACTACACAGAGAAATCCTGTTTTGAAAAAAAATAGTAATGTTAAACATTTTTAAACTTCAGTTAGACCTTGTTCTGAAGTGAATGAATTTTGTTGTGCAGCACGTCAATGTTTCAAGTCTACCCAAACGTGAACCACTGTATAGGAAGTCTAAGTGAGAATTTTCTTTGTACCCATGCTGGAGCTTTTTAAAATGGAATAACTGGATTTGCTCATGAGTCTCTACTTTCCAAAATGATAAACTGAAAAACGAACCTAACATTCTACAATTATAGAATGTAAAGCCATATGAATATAGGTTGTAAATGAATTTCATCACACCTAAAGATTTTCTCCATGTTAAGAATGATGGACTTCACAATAAATATCACATGAAACCTAAAGAATTTAAAAGAAATTTCAAACATCTTTTGATTTGACACCCTTTAGTTTTCCTTTAATTGCTATTCTTTGTTCACTAGAATAAATAACTGGTTGATTTCTTAGAATGTCAGCTCCACTGGCAACCAATTGAATGCCTGCTCATGTATTATAATGGAACCTAAATATAGGTTTGACTCAATGTGGTTTACAAATTGTCCATGTAAAACCACTAGTGCATTGCTGTATGATAAAGAACCACCCTAGGCTTTAAAGAAATCGTTACACTTGAGGGTATATGTTAACTTCAGGATTCAAACACATTTTCAGTAATACTTTCAAGTCCTATTATGTCAGTGTAAGGCAAATAGACACTCTTATCTTTGTGGAAAATGTGATCTTTCCCCCCTTATATGAAATTGTGTTTTTATCTTAGGGTGAATATTGCTTTTTATTACCCTTCATCTTTTATAGCTGTTTCCTACACAAATGACAAAATTCATATGTGACTCTCATATCTTCTTGGAAGGTAAATAAAAGCCAGTCACCTTTCAGTCATCACTGGGAATGTATTTTTTTTTTCCTTTTTAAGGTTTGCCGTGAATTTCAGCGTGGAAATTGTACCCGTGGGGAGAGTGATTGTCGATATGCTCACCCTACGGATGTCTCTATGATTGAGGTGTCTGATAATACTGTGACAATCTGCATGGATTACATTAAAGGCCGATGCTCCCGGGAGAAATGCAAGTATTTTCATCCTCCTCCACACTTGCAAGCCAAACTCAAGGCAGCTCATCACCAGATGAACCATTCGGCGGCGGCTGCGATGGTAAGAACAGGTTGGGACTGTGGGCTTCATGTAAGGCCGCTTTGTCTAATATTTTGCATACATAAAAGACTGGTTACTCGTGAGTGCATCTTAGTATGAATAGCCAAAGTTATATGCCAGAAAAGAGAGAACCAATTTATTATACTTTATTTGCTAAGACTTTCTAAAGATAATTATTTAAAGCTTTATTAATGATTTAACCCACTATTCTTTTTTCTTAATTTTAGGAAAAGGTAAATTATATGATTTAAACAGGAAATTATGTTGAGTGCCTTTTACAGTCTGACTAGCCCAAATATTTAAAAATGGCAGAGCTGCTTCTATATTCTATCAGTCACTCACATGGGCACCTGGTTACTCACATCCTTAATGCTCTTTGAAAACACTGTGCTTCAAAGTTGAGGTAGTAAGTAGCTTCTAATTTCCCAGAGGTCAAAATTACCTTTCTGGGCTGGTTGTATGGTGCAGACAGAGGGGAAGATCAAGGCAGAAGCCAGCCATATCTTCAGGGAGATTTGGACATGACTGGGGAAAAGGCCTCTCCTTTGAGTTGCCCTAACAGTCAGTTATGGGGAAGAGTTAGTTCTTATTGATAACACTAACAAATAGCAAGTAGAAAAAATAATTGTGTGACACTGTAGTGTGAGAAATCAAAGTTAGAATTACTCAAGTGTTTCACAACTATGAATTATTTTGATATGTTACTTGCCACACTCTTTGCTTGTTTGATTTTTGCTACTAAAGACCTCCACTCATATTTCCAGTGGGGGACAAAACTGAATAAACTTCATGTTACCTGTGTAACCCCAAAGCCCATAATCAATATGAACCAAATTACATGTGTATGCATTATTCAAATTGACATGATAAAGACCATGTGTTTTCATAAGAGAGATCATCCCGTCCCCTCGCTTTTTCCTTTCTCCCATCCCCACTTCCCATCATCTCTGTCTCTGTTTTCTCTCTGTTCTCCCTTTCCTCCCTTTCCCTTTTCCCTTTCTTTCTTTTGTTTCCTGTGACAGAGTTGCACTATGTAATCCAGACTGACTTCAGATTCTGTATAGTTCAAGCTGGCCTGGAATTCACCATTTATCGGTTTCAACTTTCCTTTTCAGCCATCCCTCTTTAGAAGGTTTTCCTCATATTTAGATGAAATTTATTTTTTCTGTAACTGAAATTTCATGATATAAAGTGAGCCACTGTCCTAAAAGGATTATGTCTCATGTCCCCTCCCTAAGCCCAAATGTTCCATATTTCTGTAGTTTTTTTCTCATAGTTTGTGATTTGAAGGATGTAACATCATTATTGAACTGGATCTACTTTCTTACTACACCTTTTCTTTTAAAACTGACTCCTTTGACTCATGAAGGGCCTGGGTACCCAAGTAGAACACACTCACTTTCTCCTTTGATCTCGGCAACAAGTCTGTTAATGAATATTAATTACATTCTCAAATAGTTTTGATTTTAGATGTTTTGGAATGCTTTTAAGTTATGAAAATAGCAAGGTATCTAGGATAGTCAGTGCCGAAGCTAAGCCTTGATTTTATTTTGAAGAGATTTGGGCCAATGTTGGCCTCTAACTCCTGATCTCAAGCTCTTTCTGCCTTAGCCTGCCAAGTAGCTAGTCCTACAGCTGTTCTGTATCACACCCGGCTAAGCCTTCGACTTCCTGATTACTTAAGTTGGTTGTAGAAGTTCACACACATGCATACATACACATGCACGATATATAAAAAAATGAGCAATGTCTTGCTTTTGTGCAATTACGTACCTGTACCTAAACTCAGGGATGAATTTCATGTTTCTTTCTACTGATAACTTGGCAGAGTATGTATATAATGTATTAATCTCAAATTATTTCCATTTAGACAGTTAAATCTTATATAGCATGCTCTCATTAGAACATGTGGATGTTAATGTAAAGTCCTTTTCTAACTGATTACAACAGGGTCTCACTTTAGCAGTGACCTTATGGGTCAGACTGACCCAAAGGAAATAGTGTGATATAAGACTAAATAAAAGAGGATTCCGGGAAGAGGTTTGATCCTTTGGTGTTTTAATCTTTTTATAGAGTATAAATGTTTTCTCAAAGGATGGTATTTACCTTGTTCATGTGTATAGCTCAAGTTGTGTTTACTGAAGAAAAATTACATGTATTAAATTTTTAAAAAGCTGGGCATGGTGGCTCATGCCTATAATACTAAGACTTGGGAGGCTGAGGCAGAATGATTGTCATGATTTTAAGGCCAGCCTGAGTTACAGAGTGAAACATTCAAACCTTCCCCCACAAAATGAAAGAAAAGGACAGGTGGTGGGGAGGAATGATTCACCTGCCTTGTCCTTACAGGTGAGTTTCTAGACATACACTTCCTAGATGTAAGATTTGAACCTGAGGTCTTTGTCTAAATTAGATTTTGTTTTGTAGGACTACAGTATTCTAATGCCAATGGCTGTTTTATCACCCACATGCCATTTACCCCCTACATCCATGTTGGGACTTTAATGGGCAGAAACCTTCTCTTCTACATGTCATTTCTGTTCTTGTTTCTGTTGTTTACTAGATGAGTACATCTAAGTTAATTGTGTATGACAATTTGCTGTTTGAGTTTTCTGTCACATCCTGCCCAAAGTGTTAAGGATTAGGGACATTAAAAGGTCCTCTCCCTTTATATTTCTGTTCCATACTAACTTTTTCGCACTCCACCAGCCAATCTTTGTAGTTGTTTGCCCTGCTGAATATCCACTACTTATGGAAAGTCTTGCTCTGTGGATTCCCTTGTGGTGGCTCCCCAGGCTGTATCTTAGATAAGTGGCACTTGCTTGATTTGAGTACATTTGTACTTCTTCTCTGATGATAGTAACTGTTTCATCCCTTCTCTATAGGCTCTGCAACCTGGTGCACTTCAGCTGATACCAAAGAGGTCAGCCCTTGATAAGGCCAATGGTGCCACCCCAGTCTTTAATCCCAATGTTTTCCACTGCCAACAGGCTCTGGCTAACATGCAGATTCCGCAGCCGGCGGCATTTATCCCAACAGGTGAGAACACAGCTCTGGGAGGCTTGAGTTTAGCAGTTTGAATATGTACATTGCACAGCAGCTTCTAAAGCGCTTTTGTTGGAGGACACCATCATGCATTTTGACTACAAGTAAAATAAAACAATTACATTTGATTTGCTATTATCAAGAATAATGTATATGATTTTGGAAATGAATGGATTGAAATTAAAATAGGAAAGGAGTTTTTATGTTTGGTCAGTTGTTTTTTGGTTTTTTTATTTTTGCTTCTAAAGGTTGATTTACTGGTTTTATCTCAACTAATTACTTGACTTGTAGTTATTATTTCACAGATAGCAATTATCTGTCAAAAGAACTTTCCAACTTCAATACTGTAAAATTCTGTAGTCCATATAACTATGATATAACAAAATCAGTAATTTTTTTAAATCCATAAATTTATAGTATATTTACAGTCTATGTAAAACAGGTAGTTTTAGACTCTTAAGTCTTGGAAATTATTATTAAGTGAATGTAAAGATTTGGGGATGTATGTTTAATAGAGAATTTGTCTAGCATGTACAAAGCCCTGGACTTAACCCCGGCACTATCAAAAAAGTTGTGGAAATTTTTATTTGAAAAAATGTAAAGGGAAGGTACCATTTGCTTTAAAAATCATTTTTATAAGACTTAAAAATTACATAAACATGTCCAGATACATAGTGCTGTATACTCAGACATAGAAAATAATAAATTGATCAGTTAGCTAATAGATTAATTCTCTAAATACAGGCTTAGATCCTGGAGCATACCTTTAAAAGAATGTGTGTAGTAAACAAAAAAAATCTCCTTTATGGATAAATTATTTACAAAGCATTTGCCTGGAATAAATATATATTTTAAGTGAGATGATTCCTTTAAAGAAAAGATAGCCGGGCGGTGGTGGCGCACGCCTTTAATCCCAGCACTCGGGAGGCAGAGCCAGGTGGATCTCTCTGAGTTCGAGGCCAGCCTGGGCTACCAAGTGAGTTCCAGGACAGGCGCAAAGCTACACAGAGAAACCCTGTCTCGAAAAACCAAAAAAAAAAAAAAAAAAAAAAAAAAGAAAAGATAAAGTTCTTTTTTAACCTGTGAGTTACTTTTATTCCCTGGGTCTGTGGTCTTAAATCTAACCTGTAATTATAAGCATGGGTGACTACTGGTTTGCATGTGCTGATTAATTGATATTGCAAAAAATATCTTTCTAGTTAAAATTCACTTCTATCTGTAAGGCCTTAATAATGAAATCTCTCTTTTCTTTGCTTTCCACGCTTTTCTGCATGGTGTACAGGGCCAATACTGTGCATGGCACCCGCTTCAACTTTTGGTAGGTTTTGTACAAAAATTCTCAAATTTCTCTAACCTAAAAACATTTTTCTACTGTAACTATGAAAACATGAGTGACCAAATGATGTGAGTGGACATTTTCTGAGTATTTAGGGTTTAATATGGTATTTTTTGGAATCAAAATAAATATATTTCTCAAGCTCTAATAGGTTGCCACAGTAGCCAAATTTTAACCCTGCCATTTCCATTTCTATCCTAAAAAAAGCAACTGAAATATTTTTAAATGTTTCTTTTTGTAGTGAAACTGGATGATTTTCTTGTTCTTGTATGTATTATTTTAAAAAATACATTTCAAATGTATAACTTATAAACTACAATGAAACAATCCTCTCCCAAAGTTATCCTTATAGTGTAATGCATTCATTACACAGATATTGAGAAAGGATGACTTAAGCAAAGCTAGAACATCCTGCCATGTTCTGTGATGAATTCTTACATGTTTAGATTGTGAGCTTGGTATTTAATGGCTGAGCCATCTCTCCAGCCCCTGTGATGGGTGCTTTGGTGTTCAAGGATGGAGCATCATCTGCCCAGAAATTGCACAACAGAATCATTTCAAAAGTGATTTGGGGTGATGATGTGATTTTTAAACTACCAGTCATATCCTCTCAGCCTTTTGGCTAAGATCAAATGGAATAGCCAGTTACACACAATTCTTTAGTTAGCCACCACCACTATATGATAGCCATCCCTAAGCCATTTTGTATTTCACTAATAGAAAAGAAAATAAGAAAGCCACTGGGTGGTCACGGTTCCTATAGTCTTCATGGGAACCAGGAACCGATCATGAGAAGTTAGTTTTGTTTAAAGCGAGGAAGACGGAACACATTAGCTTCTCCTATTAACCCAGTTCCTCTTATCTTAGAGAATTTGCAGCAGCTTGCCCTCCATCCCACTGGTAGACTCCAGTGATTGTGGAGTTATTGAGATAAAAAAGGAAAGGTTAAAATGATGACCACATAGAAGCAACACAAATGCAGCAATATCTGAACCCTGGCAAAGGGATGAGGCCTGTTATTGAAGGCTTAGATGCCCCCATAGGAATTAACATTGCGTTGATACTAACAGGAACATTCTGTGAATGTAAGTGGAAGAATAGACATCTGCAGCTTGGAGAAAGGTGTCTCTCTTTTCACACTTTGTGACCTGTTTCTTGGGCTGCTTCCTTGTCCTTTCCCTTTCAGAGCTCTGCTTATGAATGCAGTTGCATGCTTTGGCACTGCTGCTTCCTGCACAGTTGCTGTACTTCCAATGAGAGAAACGAGTGGTTTTAGAATTAGCACGTGAGACAATGAAAGATGGCTGTAGGAAGTAAGTAACCAGAGATGGAGAAAAGGGACAGCTATGGAGTTTCTGGGAATCACTGTTTGGGAATAGTCTTGCTTACTTTGGCATTGATTGCATTTTCCTCCTGGCCATTCACTTTGTCAGTAGACTTTCAGAAAATCTGAATTTGACTGAGGTAGACATGATAAATTAATATATGTGTATGCTTCCCATTTACACATTGCCATTCACACATTAATTCCCTAGTTGGCCTTCCAAAATAAGCTGGAAATTAGAAAAGCATCCAAAAGTTTTGAGAATGAAATAGAAGTAGCAAAGCAAAGAAAAAATATCCTGAAAGAGATTTTGCAGCTGCTAGCCATTGTAGCTCTAATATCTGCTGTGAAGACAAGATTTACTATGGAGCACTCGTGTATTTGACAATAGCTAAAATTTCCAAGGAACTTACCAAACTGAGTACATAGTCCACTGTATTCTTCATACCTGCTCTTCTACCACATACTTATCAACAGAACCACCATCCTTTTTATATTCAGATCAGGTAAGTACACATCAAACTGCCATTTGTACCAGAAAAATCTAGTAATAGCACTTGTCAGTGAACCCAAACACCAGTTGACAATTCTGTAATTAATTTTGACTGTGCAACCCAGTGACTTGTCTGCTTAAGTAGCTTTAATAGGTAGCCCTGGTAACAGCAGATTTTTTTTCATATGCATTCATTACAACCCTTCCTGAAAATTCAGCATTTTGAATACACTACAATGTTATTTCGCACAAATTGTTAAGAATGGCTCTGTTTTCCTTAATGATAACTATAATTGGCTTTCCCCTTTTCTCTTTTTAAATTTTCCTCCATTCCATGTTGTGCTGCTTTGCACTGACTTTGATTGCATGCTGTACCCTGGTGTATATCCATCATGATGATGTTACGTGGCTTGTTGCTGGGATATCTACTGTGCCCCATTCCATCGTATCTGTCATGGTTGTGTAAATGCTTCACCCTTCCATGTATTGCTTCCATGATTTCCTACTGAAAGTGCCCATGATGCACGGTGCTACACCCTCCACTGTGTCTGCAGCAGCAACACCTGCCACCAGCGTCCCCTTCGTTCCAACAACTACGGGCAATCAGGTTTGGCCATTTATTTCATCTGTTCCAACCTAGATAACCACAAAATGTTGAAAAGGCACAGTATATGCCTTTCGGATTGGTGAAAGTGCTTAATCCATATGCTTATGCATTTCTTAACCAGTCATTACATTTGGAACTTTTATTTTTATGTGTAATTAGGGTATTGTATGTGATTTTTCTATTTATCTCAGGGTGAATTGGCAGCATTTTACTCATTGTTAACTGGTGAGCAGATGTTATCCATGCTTTTCTATATCAAATTATTGCTACCACACCAATCCTCAAATGTATATGCTGTACTGAATATGTCTTAAAAGCTTTCTCATCCTGGTGAAGAGGATAAGTTATTTTACTGCTCCCCTTGTTTTTGGTTATTGTGTTTGAACTTTGATTTAGTAAACACATCGCCTTTACTTGCAGTTCCACTGGAAAGAAAGCATGCTATCACATTTCTTTCCAAGGAATGCACATGTTTATTATCACCCAATGATTACATCAGAGATTCCTTCTCATGCAGACATTAGATGTGCTTGTGTTGTTTCCACTTTCATTTGAGTTAGGGTTTTTCAGGCGGAGTCACAAGCAAATGGCCAATTTTTAGGATATCTTGAAGTTGCGAAGCAATTAGTACAGTAGTTACTGAGTACTATAATACCTGATCTGCCTTATCAAAATGCTCACTTGCCCCAAGGCTGCTGCTTAAATTTCAAGCATGATAGCTAAGACGCAAGGCACATCATTCATTTGCTGGATAAATCACACTCCAACCCATGCTCTCCAAAACTGACATGGTGCCAATAGTAAATGTGCTTAAAGTTCTCTGTGAAATTGAACATCATTTTAACGTAACAAACTCAGGCAGTGAACAAAATAAACAGGATTCTCCTAAAAATCATTTTAATCTAAAATCTTTTTTACTACTATAGATGCCCCAATTATCAATAGATGAGCTGAATAGGAACCTGTTTGTTTCACACATGTAGAAGTTACCAGTAAAACAGTAAGTTTAAGTATTAATAGGTGGTATTTGTAGGTTGTGTCTTTTATTTACACAATTGTATTTGCTAAGGTTTGAGTAAACTTGTTCACTTAAAGACATTGCTTATAACTTGAATTTGATTGTGATTTCCAACGCTTCAAAACTGAAATGTGAGAGAGATGATTCTTTTGATGTGGAGATGACAGCTGTTACTGTATTTTTCTAATGAGCTCATAGACTCAGTAATATTTTTTCTATTTTCAAAGGGGCAAGAGTTTTTTTAGCCAAAAGCACAAATCACATTTGAATTTGAATTCTTTAAGCTTTTTTGTTTGTTTGTTTTGTTTTCAAGACAAAATTTCTCTATAACCCTGACTGCTCTGGAACTCACTCTGTAGACCATGCTGACCTCAAACTCAGAAATCTGCCTGCCTCTGTCTCCCAAGTACTGGGATCAAAGGCGTGCACTGCTATGCTGGGCTTAATTCTTTAAGATTCTTAAGCTTCATTTTTTGTTGAAGTAAAACAAAGTCAATTGGTCAGAATTTGGCTGATATGATCATCTTAAAGACAGTGAGTGTTCCGTTTCTTTGTGAGTCAGTATAAAAAGCTGTGCTCCTGCCGGGCGGTGGTGGCGCACGCCTTTAATCCCAGCACTTGGGAGGCAGAGCCAGGCGGATCTCTGTGAGTTTGAGGCCAGCCTGGGCTACAGAGCGAGATCCAGGACAGGCACCAAAACTACACAGAGAAACCCTGTCTCGAAAAAAACAAAAGAAAAAGCTGTGCTCCTTCTGTATGTTGCAGTGTGTTGCTGCCCATGTAAGTCAAGTGGAATTGTGCTAGCTGTTTTGAAGTTTGAATGACACATCAAATAATTTAGTAATCCAATAACTATTTTCATTCTTTCCCCACCTTAACATTGGACCTCTACGTTGCCCGGTTGAGGGGCCATTAGTAGTACACACTTAGTTCAAGCAGTCATTCACATGAAACGTGTCTGTTGAAGATACTTAAGAATCCTAGGTAGCTGAACTCTAGAGACCTAACAAGTGAATCTGCTCTGAATTACATTGTAGAAAGCTCGAAGGTCTCCCACCTTTAGTGTGTCGTTTGGTTGAAGGAGGTAGCTGATATGCCTGCCGCTGGCGTAGTTCCCCATCTCCCATTAATAGGTCCCATGGTTATTATATACTAGATAAGCAAGTCCCATCAGTCATAGGAATGTTTTTAAAAGGGCATGGGAGGACTGGAGGAGATGAAAGTTAGAATAGTTTTCACAGGTGTTATTTAGCATAGTAGCAACTTGGGAAAGCCCTAGAGTGAGAGTGGAGGTTTGTCCAATGTTTGCTCAGTTCTCATAGGCACATCAAGGGAAAGAAGATCCAAACAAAATTGATTCACATAAAATATGTTTGGAAGAACGACTTTTCTACTTGATTCCTTTAAAAAATAAGACATTTGGCAGAATATAACTTTCACGTGTAACAGGTGTGAAGATTTTCTCCAAAGATCAAAAATGTTGTTTTGTAGAATAGTATATGACTTACTCAGGTTATTTCTGCAAGGGTATGAGATAGTCAGCTGAAAGTGTAAAGCTTTGTTTACTATTGGACCTTTTCAAAGTGTTTGATATTAAATACTTCTTGGAGATACATGTCTGTTGAATGAGGTGAATTGATGGTTGGATGAGGAGCAAAAAAGTTTTGGTATTGTTAGATAATGCCTTAAATATGGCCCATTGTGGGACCTGCCCATAGACTGTTCTAGCTGTGTGTCTGTTTAGTGATTGCATTAGCCCCACTGTCACAGACATAGGGTCTGAAGTTCAGAGTGGGGCATATCTTGGCCCACTTAGTTCATTTGTAGAAATGGAATAAGAACTAGTCTCCTGACACCTTGTTCAATAACCCTTCACTCTTTCTTACTGACTCTCTTGTTTTGTTTTCTATTTCAGTTGAAATTCTGAGCAGCAGAGTTATGGAGTATCAGAATCTCTCAACAAGAAACTCCACATGGCCTTTCTATGTGTATTCTCGTATGTCCTCTTCTACCAACACAACGATAAGCATGGTGCAGTCGATATAGTAAAGCACATACACCAGTCGAAAAATTCAAATTTAAAAGAAAGCATTCAGAAATCTGTGGAGATGTTAAAGCAAATAGAAAATTGACCACTGTGTGTTACCTAATATGGATTATTAATTGTATATGAATTAGCATATAGAATACAACCATACACCTTTGTCATTTATGTGAATTATCAGATCCATATTACATAAATAATCCATCTGATATGAATTACCATATTGAATATAACCGTAAAATTTTGTGATTTTTTTCCCAACAATGATTTATGTTAAATAAATTTCCACAGTGTACTGTAGGCATACTGTACATTCTTGGTGGATAAATTGTTTTTGAAGTGTTACCTTACTGTTTTGTTTACAGGATAGTCTATTGGATTGATGTAGAATGTAACTAATATACCCAATACCATTTCCCCCATTGATATGTTGTATTAAATTGGGTTCTGTTTAGCTTTTCAATGCTAGTGTTTTGTTGTTTATATGTGGTGTTTGATTTCAGTTAAATGTCATTAGTGGGGAACAGAGGTATATGTGATAGAAAAACATGACAAGTTCATGTTAATATGCACTCTTCAAAATATCTCTTTAAGTTTCTTGAGGCATACATTTAAAAGGCCTCACTTTTGAGTGTACACAAAATCTGTTCATAGAATTTTACATGTAGACCTGACCTTCCATAGTCAATAATATGCTCAATTTTTAAAAGAGAAAAATAATTACCTACATATGGTAACAAAGTTCAAATGTTAACATCAAATCATTTCTCTTAAATAACTTGAAAATCAAGTATTCACATTCCAATAAATTTCTGAGCATGTATAAAATTATGTAGAGTAGCCATTACATTTATTGTGTCACAGGAATCCTGTCTCTCAGCTTGAGTGTCTAAAATTGAGCCATTTGTCATCTTCAGTTGAGAAACTGGTACTTACTAGTTTAAAGGTATGCTAATCATAGGTTATAAATCAAGTAGAGAGATGTGGGCATGGAGAGAGTTTTTATGTACTGGCAGAAAGTGTGTAAAACCTTTGTATTGTAACCTTTTGCACAAGTGCCATTTTCCAAATGCAAATGGCCCGTGCTCTTCAGACTATTCTTTGAATAATAAGTAAGATGCAGTCTAGCAAAAGTGAATCCAGGTGAAAGAGAATTGTTTCCAAAAGAGGCCTTACCTCCCCAAATGGACAATCTTTCCTATTGATCACAGAAGGAGGCTGAGTACAGGTTTGGAGAGATGGCAGGGATGGGAGCAGAGAGACATTTAAAATGACGGATTATGCAAAAGAACTAGAAAAGGTTTTCACAATTGTCTTTCACTTCCGTTTAGCTGAGTTTCCAGTTTTCTACAAGCTGCAGTGAAGTCGCAAGCTTTGGCAAGTGTTTCCCTGCCCAAATGTCAATCAGAGTTTTGGGAGTTTTTGTTTGGTTGGTTTTTGTCTCAGAACAAAACCTTTTTTTTCTCATTTGAACTTATTTTCTTTTATGTGTGTTTCAAAATTATAGTCAGTTTTATCATCATTTGGCTAATGTAGAAGAGCAATATCCCATGGAGGTGTGGTATGAATTCTTCTTACTAATACTTATGAAATAATCTCACAAGTATCAAATAGTAATCCATCTATTTCTGTGACATATGGTGTACGTTTTCTACTTTACATAGTTATTAACATTACTATTATTATAATAGGGAGAAAACATTTTCCAACAGCTGAAGTAGATTTAACATTTTTTACTCAATATGTATTCTCCCATTGGAAAGTATAAAATCATCAATTTTTTGTATGTATAAAGGTTGTTTTTCTTCATGAAAATTACAGTCAAAGAGAAAACATTTGGGATACCTTAAGACAGGTACTTGGATTGATTTTTCAGAACAGTGGAGTTGGCAAAGACTTTATTGCCTTTGCCATGGTTGATAAAACAGAGAGCCAAGCCATGTGACTTGCCTAAGGCTGCCTAGCCATTATGGGAACCAATTGTTCCTCCTTTTTACATCTTTCTCTGGAACATTTGAGACTCCAACTCAAAGCAGATCAGATTGGCTCAGAATACAAAAAAGCAAAATTACATCTGGTGGTTGGTATCCTGTTGATCTTAATTATCCAGGTGAATCCTGGTCACCAGTGATTTCTAAGTAGTCTTGTTTGTGTGTTGGGCCTTTGCCCTTTGTTAACTGTTGCCTGGTTAGACATTGAGAGTTGTGTGTCTTTTTACCTTTGGGCTCTTTGAACCACTTGATTTCTGTTTTCTAAAATCATAATTCCAGAAAGAATATACCTGAGCTAGTCTAGATGTAGTTCTTAATGGATATGGGAATGTTTTGTGCAAAATGAACTTTTTGTAGTTTGACATTTTGATGCAACATACGATCTCGTTTAACTTCTTAAACTTTTGACAAAGACATAGATGGTGAACTTAGAGGAGAGCTGTTCTCATGTTGCTCTAAGCACTGGAAGATACTAGCTAGCATTGACTTATTTTTAGGAAGAGATTCAGTGAGGAACATTCAGGGGAGTTGTCTTTTTGGTGCAACATGTTTCTATGACATTTTAAAAGTTTAAGAAAGCAAGCTCAAAGCTCGAACATTTTGATGAAATTTAACCGAGTTTTGGGGGGAATGAAACTTTAAGTTGGCACTCTTTAGTTGTGCAATGACTAATGATCTTATTGAAGAAAAACACAAGTCATTTGACTATAAATTGAATTAACAAGACAAGTCACAATGAATCAGTGACTCTAAACAAAAATTTACTGAATCATTTGTAAATAAACTAAATTCTAATCAGTTGTGATTCTTAGTTAGCATTTTGTAGTCTTTGTGTTTTACAGTGGCCTCTTTTTATTTCTCAAAAATAATCGGTTTTGTCCATCTTCTCAGCCTTTTGCCAAAATTTGCAAGACCGCTGAAACTTGGATAAAATGTGTCAAATATAAACAAACTAAATGTGTCATTTAAGGACTTAGTAGTTTCAGTTTTTACAAAAAGCTCTATGAGACCATAATATTTTAAATAGGGACTTAAAATTAAATTAAATGGGTTCATAAAATTACTATTTAAATACAGTATTTACTTTTGAAATTGGAGCATGAATCCACACCCAGCTGTTGCTTTTGATCTCACTTTTCTAGATTAATCTTTAATTTGCATCTTGTCATGAAATCAGTCTTTCTGTTCCATCCATCTTGCTCATCCATTTCTGAGCATGCTAAAGCACTTTTATCTTGCTGTAAGTGTTGTCCACTAACGGGAGCCCTGAACTCCCCTGGTCTCCAGGAAAAAGCCAGTGCCTGCTCTCAGCTATCAGCAGGAAACAAACGAAATGAATGTTTTTGACTTGAATTAGCTTTGAACGGCATGACCAGTAAGACAGTGATGTGTGAAGAAGGAACAGCATCTACACTACATTGTAGGAAATGATGGAGTTGGCTGAGGCAGCTCATGCGCTACTTGGAATGCCAGTTGGTTCTTTTCCTCGTCTTTGAAGAGTGTTGCTGAGGATGCCCTTAGGTGATACACAGCCCAGGGTGGCCAAGATCTGGCAGTCTGTGGGATGAGCTGTGCTATGCAGAATCATTAGTAACTGTACTTCTTTTTCCCCTTAAAAAAAGCTCTTCTTCATTTCACTTACACTGAAATGGAAATAAGTAGAATTCGGTGGGGGCGCCAATTCCCAATTTTGATTTGTAAAATTAATAAGATAGTGGCCTAATTTTACCAGTGCCTGACAGAGGTAGTAGACTAAAATAGGTTAAAGAATTGAACATTTTTTTTTGCAAATTTAGCAGATAGTCTAATAAAACTGTAAATATAATTACAAATATAGGCTCTGAGTACCAAGTCACTAATTGGTGCCATGTTTTCATTTTTTATTGTTAGGTTTTTTTAATTTTTCTTTATTAAGAAATTTTCTACTCACTCCACATGCTATCCACAGACCCCCCCTCCTCTCTCCTCCCACCCCCAGCCCTCTTGTCCAATTATTGTTAGTTTTTAAGGTTTTTAATTATACTACATTTTTATATATAAACAACTAATGAATTTAATTTTGAAGAAGAGTTAGAGAAAGTTTAAGTTTTTACTACATATATTCAGACCATTTATTAGGTTGTAAACTGGCACGGTAGCATAACATGGTATAGATTGCAGTCCATAACTGCACTCTACAATTTACAGTTTAAGAACAAATTTAGTTATGTACACAAATAGTAGTTATCAGCTAAATATATTTAGTTGTTGCTTTGGCAACAAAACTACAACATGGCTACCTTTAGACATTTGTGCATGTAAAACTTTTATTGGTAAGCTATATGTGGGTCATGACAATGTGAACATATAGAAGACACAGCTGAAAACGCATGATGTTTTTGAAGCCCTGAGTCCCATGTGAAAGCTGGATTTGTGTCCTCCTGTAGCCTTTTGTCTAAAAAAGTTTATAGCACATGGATTCTAGAGTCAGGCTTCACAGTTTATAGAACATGGATTCTAGAGTCAGGCTTCACAGTTTATAGCACATGGATTCTAGAGTCAGGCTTCAAAGTTTATAGCACATGGATTCTAGAGTCAGGCTTCACAGTTTATAGAACTGGCTGTGTTGATAGGGTTCATACAGTACTTTGACACCAGAACAAGCATGATATATTATTACCTGACCTTTTTCATAACTTCATTCAAAATTACCTATTCATGTAGTATCTGTGGCTGTAAAAAGAATCCTATTTTCTAGAAGTATATACAAACATGTGTGAGGATTAAAGCATAACTCAACATTTTGAAATTAACTCATATTTGTGAACCCACACACAAAGATACTATAGAATGGCCCCTGAATAGTGTTAAGAAGCATATGCTGCAGTTACCTGACTGTCTCAGTTAGGGTGCGAATGTGTGAGACACACCTTTTTTGCACTTATGTACATAGTCCATGAAAGCAGTCCTTTGAGCTTTTTAAAATATGAGAAGTCTGTGGTAATAGCAGAGAGTTGGTAAGAGTGGTTTCTGAGGCTTTCAGAAGGCAGTTGTTCTTTGCTCTGAGAAGTAACGAAGCATAGTGTTGCAGTGCTGTTGTGGACGCTTGCTAGTTTGCTGCAGTTCACCAGAAGCTCAAACATCTGCCAGATCCCCCTTAACAGCATTGAGCAGAAGTACAAAGCACTTCTTTTAGTAAGGCTACTAGCAAAGATTGTTTGCTTTGTGGATTAATTCCCACTGTAAACACACACATACACTCACACACACCCCCCACAACACCCCACACCGTCATGCATGCATCACATAATGGGTAAGGTTCCCAGCAGAGGCTTCTTTTTTCAATTACAGAAAGCAGGGAAAAAATACAAGACAGTTAATCTCAAATCAAATAAAACAGACTTCATCCTTCATAGTTAATGCATACATCAATTAAAAGTGACAAATTGTTAATGTTTTAACTCAGCAGAAGAGAACCACCAAAAGCTTACAT